ACACACACACACACACACACACACACACACACACACACACAAGAAAAAATGCACACAAGTGAGTTTTTAAAGCACCCCCCTGGGAGACGCTAACATTCAACAAGACATGCAAAGACTCCTACTGTTGGTGTCGAAACCAGGTGGGTCAGAAGAAGGCAGATATTTAAATAAAACCAAACAGTTTGGACTCATGTATCACATAATTACTTGATATTATTTAATAATTATTATTGGATTTTCTACCAACTAAATACAAAATAAGGATGTTTTAACCAAAAAAATCACCAGACACACACCTACAGTTTTTGTTAAAGTTTTATAAGTTTTATTATTATTTAAATAAACTGGTTTGGAAAGATTTTCCTTTGCCCGGTTTTATTTTTTCTTACTTATTTGAATTATTGTAATTTTTGTCTTTAAACCCCCAAAATGTTGACTTAACTTTATATTTTGTTCTGTCTGATTATGTAACTTTTAAATATTAAGTGACTGACAGTTTGATCAGTTACTCAGTACTTTTTACCAAGTACTTTTATACTCTTGAGTAATTTCTTAGATGGGTACCTTTTATTTTTATGCGAGTAAAAATATGTTGAATTGGTGTTACTCTTACTTTAGTACAATTTTTGGGTACTTTACACACCCATCATGCTAATATATGTAAATCAATAAAACTGTTTGGTTTCTTTATGATTAAAATACTGATATTGATATAAGAATGATAAAATAATTGTAAGAAAATTCTAAATGTATAAAATTCTGTATTATTTTTAAGCTATGTGTTTTCATGTTGCTTTAAGGTAAGAAACTCCCGTTTCTTCTTCTATGGTATTATCCGTTTCCAAAGATGAAGCCATTTTTGTGTTTTATAGTTTTTGCTGTGGCGTAAAGTTTCACGTTTCAGTAAAAGAAGGAAAGATTAGACCACTGATTCACACAAGCTAGGTTGAAATAACAGTGCATTTCAAACAAGTATGCTGCTGTAAAGGGCAGAAAGTCATTTGACACCCTTCAGTTTGTCTTTTATTAAATTTGATCAACTCAAGTAGCCCTGCAGTGGTCTAGGAGTGACTATTACCCACTGCTAACTCTTTAGCCTTTTGTTGAGACCTAAAACAATCAAACATCAAGACCTAAGCACAATATATAATTACTTTGACTTATTTTTTGATTACAATTATCCTTTTGAATTAAAGTGTTTGACAGATTTGTCAGTTTCTTGTGTCAGTGTAAAGTCCACACCAGAACCAACATGGCTGCCACCACCAAGATGGCCGAGGTAGATTCACTTCTTCATCCACACCCAGTGGCCCCACAAGCTGTGTTAGTGATAGATTGATTACCCTGATCAAATAATGCCAACATCTTAAATATTTATCGTCTCAAAGTTCATAATTTTTCATAATGCGATTTACTAAGCTCCTCTCAGAGGAGTTCCTCATGGCTCCATATTTGGACCACTGCTCTTCAATCTCTATGCATAAATTATCTTTAATCGTAATTTACCAAATGCAGGATTAATTTTAATGCAGGTGAAAATGATCTATTATTACTTTAACTGAAACTCCTGAATGTCTCTAATCTGCCTTTGATGTTAAATTTAGCACAACTTAAGTTGCTGTTCATTGTCAAAAAAAGAAAGAGTTGTCAAAACCCGGTAAATTGCATATTTAATTATAAAAATATACAAATAGTAAAAATGGGTTTATTAAAGAAAAGTTAGACATCAATATAAAGCAGAAAAATATGGAAATGTAAGAAAAGTCAGCTGCCGTCATTTACAGAAAACAAAATCGGCTAAAAAGTATTTCTTACAGCAAGAGAGTGATAGTAAAATAAAGGCGGAAAAATGACAAACTACAGCAACACATCTGGCTAATTTAAAGATGTATAAAAGTGTTTTAAAAAAATTTAGTAAAAATAACTGAACTAAAAGCAATGCTAGGAAGAAAAAAGAACATTTTTTTCCATTTATCCATTTCTTCCTGATGACGCTGAGCTATAATATGCAGAACAAACAGAGTAATGCTTCTGTTTCAGTCCCGGAAAAAGAAATATACAAGTGTTTTCTCCTCAAATAAAAAAGAAAAAAGTGAACATTTTATGCCCTACATGCCATTAGGTGAAATTTTAACCTCGTGATCAAGCGAACATTTGTGTCGTGGTGAGTTTCTCTCTGTGTGACGTGATCTACTGAACGTGGCAGTTTTCTGCTTGCTTCGTTTGATCCACTAAAACATGTTTCTCTCTCTGCTCTGCGTCCTGATGGACGTTCAGCCAAGCTTTCTGTTCGCCACGCAGAGGCTGGCGCGTCCCGTCAGAGCCCTCCGATGACGAACCAGAGGGACTCTGCAGGTGGACGGGAACCAGAACCTGAGGGGCAGAAAGGTCAAAGGTCAGCTGTGTAGAAACTGAAAAAGAACTTTAGATTGAAGGTTTAGATTTTTTTTTAATTTCTCCATCTCCACTCAGAGGCTAAACCATTACTTCTGACAATAATTTAGGGAGTTTAACCTCTTTACTGCTTACTGGCTAAAGTACCGTGTCTGAGGAATACAGAAGTTTTTAAATGTTTTTTTCAGAGTCGTCTCTAGTAAGGTTGTGCTTCAAGTTGGGTTGTAAACGGTTTTATTACAAATCACAAACAGCTTGGTGCTGTGCACTGAAAGCAGCAGAGTCCGACCTACAGGCCACAAACGGGTCAGAATAAAAAAACAAAAAACTATGTTTACATTTTATTTTGCTGGATAGAAAACAAATAAGCTTTTCTGAATAAATAAAATAGAGGAAAACAGCGCTGTGTGGGTGAGGAAGAGGCGTGTGGATGAAGAGCTGCTCACCTTGACGTCCGGCTGAGTCTGCCTTGCAGCCAGCCAAGGACTGCAGCGCCTCCCGGTGGTCCTCCGGATGATGTACGGACTGGCCTCCCCCAGGGGGATATCAGCAAACCCTGAGAGTTAAAAACAACGAAATAAAACACAAAAACGTGGATCTTTGCTGCATCCTGTGTAATGATTTACTGGTTTTCTCCCAGTGATCCACCAGATCCCCTCACTGACCTTTCTGCACCAGGTCAGGCAGGCCCTCTGGTCTGAACTCTTCGTCGTCCTGTTCTCCTCTTCCTCTGGGCGTCGCGGTGTTGGCTTTCAGTTTCTTCGTCAGGTTGTGCAGAGCCTCCTGGGCGCCGTCTCTGTCGCTGATTTCCTTATGACCCCGTTTCCCCGGAGACGATCCCTGCGGAGAGCTCGCCGTTGTCGTGGGAACCACATTCTCCGTGTTTTCACTCATTTTTTCTTCCTGGTGTCTGGAGGAGGACTTCCTCGCTGAACGCCGGTGGGTTTCAGGAGGGGCCTTGGCTTCATTTGCAGGCTGGCTGGCAGCGAGCTGCTCCAGTCGGGTCTTCAGCGCGTCGTTGCTCTCCTCCAGCTTGTGGACCTTAACCATCAGGCTGCAGTATTTCTCCATGCTCTCGTCGGCCTCGGTGCTCTTCTCCTCCAGAAGCGTGTTAACCTCGTCCAGCTCCTTCCTGATCTCCTCCAGCTCCCTTTCCTTCTCCGCTCTCACTCCCTCCAGAGCAGCCGCTCGCTCCTTCACCTCTCCCTCCTTTTGCTTCAGTTCTTGTCGTCTTTCCTCAGCCTCTGCCGTTTTTTTCTCCAGGGCGGTTTTCAGTTCTTCCACTTCTTTCCTCCTGGCCTCTGCCTCCGACCTCAGCTGGGTCGCTTCAGCCTGCAACTCCTCACTGCTCCTTCCTCCTTCTGACACAAGAGACATCAGATAAGTTTACATCAACTTCATTTTTAGCTGCTTCTCCTTAAATTACAGTTTCATTTAATGCAAAAAGTCAAACTTGTATAGATCAAGATGCTAAATGTGTATTTCAGTTCATTTTGATGTTCTGGCTTACAGCTAATGAAAACACAAAATTCTGTTTTAGATTCACTGGAAAAATACAAAATCTTACCAAGTAGTTTTTGTCCAGTTTCTAGAGCAAATATCTTAGTATGCTTGAAATAAGACAAAACTAACTTACAACAAACCTTTAAATACAAAATATGAGTTTAAGTCATTGATTCTTTAATAAATATGAGTTACAGTTTGTAATAATCTGCTGGTGGATCACACCTGAGCTGCTTAGGATGTTCTGCTTCTCCTGCTCCAGCTGTTTGCAGGCCTTCATCCAGAGGTTAATTTTGCTCAGAGCAGAGTCTCTCTCTTTCGTCAGACGAGCCAAGCTGGATGTTAATTCAGAGACCTGGATGCAGAGAAGAGAATATTGCATATGAAGCACATTCATTTTAGACCAGTTTAGGACTTTAAAGATGTAGAAGTACAGGACATTTATTGTCCCTCTGCACCAGACGGGACATGTTTCGGCCTGATGCTCCAGCATACCTGCTCACTGATCTGGGTCATGGATCGTTTGCGTGTCTCCAGTTCTTCTTCCATGGAGGCGACTGTTTTCTGGAGAGCCTCATGTTCCTGTGTGAGCCTCTCCTTCTCCTCTGTTGCCTGCTGCTTCTCTTCCTCCAGCAGAGAAAGAGCTGAAGACAGGTTGTTCTTCTCCTCTTCCATCATCAACAGTGAGGATTGCAACTCCTCAGTTTCTGCCTCTAACCTCAGCTTTTCCTGCTCCAGTGAGGAGACGGTTTGTTGGAGGTTCTGTTTCTCCATTTCTACCAACGAGATCTTGGACTGAAGCTTTACTCTCTTCTCTTCCAACTCCGTTTTCTCCTGATCTGCCTTTGCTTTCTCTTGGCTCACAGACACCAGAGCAGACTGAAGCTCGTCTCTCTCCTGTTCTAGCTGTTCATTTCTTTCCTCCAATTGTTTCTTCTCTGCTGCGAATGATTCTGCCTTATTCTCTTTCTCCTTCTCCAAAGTGAGGATTTCTTCCTCTTTAGCTTGAGCAAGTGTTTTAAGATCCTTTATTTCTTCCCCTAAAGACTCAATAGTTGTCCTGAGGTCGTTGTTTTCCCTTTCCGACTCTGTCAGCTGGCCCTGAAGGTCTCCGACTCGCACACTTTGTCTCTCCGCTTCCTCTCTCGTCCATTTCTCCAGCTCCTCCAGTCTTTGTCTCTGTCTGTCTTCTTCTTGTCTTCTGTCCACCTCTGCTTTCTCCAAACCCTGTTCCAGTTTGTCCGTAGCTGCCTTCAGCTCCTCTATCTCTACATTTTTCATGTCCAGCTCTCTCTCTAAATGAGCTTTCTCAGATCTCTGGGTGTCCAGAGCGGCGGACAGCTCAGTCAGTTTCTCATTCAGCTCTTTCTTCTCTTCCTCCACCTAAAATAATGAACAGAGTGGAAAAGCAACCAGGAGAAACATTCACATTGAATAAAAGTGTCTTAAATGTTCTTTACAAGAAATACAGACTATCATATAATCCTTTAAACTTTGAAAGTCTGATATTTTATGCAAACATTAGTTTCTTGTTTTTGTGGCGCTGCTAGCACAGCCTGTCAAGTTGATTTATCTGCCTATACAACAAGTACTTTTTCATGAAAGCTCGGGCTAGTTAGCATGGCCACTGATGATGGCGTTTAATTCAAAAAATACTTTATTTATCCCAAAGGGAAATTAAATGTAACTAATATAATCCAAATTTGTCAAAGAGTTATTGTAGTTCAGGGTTTCCCCCAGAAAACTTGCTAAGCCCGGTGGTCGGGCCGTCGAGTTGGTCCACCGGCGGTCCACCTTGTTTTTGCATTAAAAGATGTTAAGTTGACAGGAAATGTAAAAGTATTACTGTGTAATTATATGTTACGGGA